CTGGCTTACATGATATTGGCATGTCACGAGCTAATATGACATTTTTAATAAATCATCTGTTGTCTATTTATTATTTTAATGAGTTGGTAATTTTAATCAACATACGGAGTACTGATTTGACATTATAAATAAAATAAAAAATAACTAACTTGTATCACTGATTAAATAAACAGAAAAATCAAATTACGTCAATTAGAATTCTTAATCATTGAGATAACAAAAATTGTGGGTCAAGTAAAAAGCTTACTATACAAACTGGTTACTTTAAAAAATAGTTTGTATAAAAAATAAAACTCTAATATCAGATTAAATTAATATTTCAATTAATTATATATTTATATAAATAATTATTCAAGCATTTGACAGCAAAGCGAACTGAGACAGTTAATGAATAAAGTTTTTAGAATTATTTAAAAATACCAATTTATTTACCATATATACGTATGGGGGGTAAAGAACACTTTCTATTTTTGGATTTAGAATCACTCCCTCTGTCCCCTTAAGATCTTCTCATTTTGACTTTTTGTGGTTTCTAAGGAGAGTTGAAAAAATGTTAAAGTTTACTATAATACTCTTAATGAAAATGGGTGGAGTGTATTAAATGAGGTAGATGGGGTGTAATAAATAAAGTAAGTGGGAATAGTTGTGGTATATATTTTAATTGTTAAAAAAGGTAATGAGAAGATCTATGGTGGACAAATAAAAAGGGTTAATGAGAAGATCTATGAGGGACGGAGGGAGTATATTTTGGCATAAAAAAGTGATTTAGATTCATCCATTTTTATGAAATGATTAATTATGCACCTACTTCTCTGAATGAATTATATTAATTTAATATTTAGGTTAGTGGTCTTATGCTAAACAAAAAGAATGGGTTTGGTTGCTACATATCTTTATCTTTATATATTAAATTTAAGAGTTAAACTCATAGAATTACAATAAGTGGTGAGTCTACATTGCAACATTTTAACAAATCATCCGCCACCTATACGGATTACGAAGTGCCACTATAATTATTTGGGAAAAAAACTAAAATAAGATTAGAATACGGAGAAAGTGCCAAAATATGAGTTTCATATTTTTTATCTCCAAAATATTAACTACAAAACCAATATTTTATTATATAGTGCTAAAAACATTATGAAATGGTAATATACATTGCCACAACGTCACTGTGTAAACTTTATTTAGGAAATAAAAATATTGAACTCTTATTTTGGGCATAAGATTTATGTCTTACTTCTATTTGAGTGATTTTTTAGTTTTGTTTAAGAAATATATACAGAGTAATATATATGGAGTAGTAACTACCAAAAGTTTCCTTCTACACTTATATTACCTTATATATCTTCTTTTTTTTTACAAAATCATCATCTTCAACTTCTTGGGAACCTCTTTGCATATCTTTCTTTTTTTCTTCTATAGTATAGATAGGTGAAATTGTGAAAACTATTGTGTAATTGATGATGTACTCACACTTCATTATTTGGTAAGTTTAAGGGAGTGCATCATTAGTAATCTATTTAAAAATGAAATTGATAGCATTATTTTTTGGTGAATTATATTATTTTCCATATTCTTTGCGGAGCTTACGAGAACAGATTTCCAATTTTGTTGATCGGAACTCTAAAATTTATTATTTAGCTACTAAATATGAAGAGATTCCTTTTTTCTATATAACAAGGTTAAAGTATACAAAATTTGACCAAAAAAAGTCAAATGAAAATATTAAATCCGAATGGAGACTAATAAGATCGAGACTAAGTTACAAGTTACAACCACATCAAAGAAAAATATAATTTCATATTTATAATTATTTCTATTTTGATAAAACATTTTGTATATTGACGAGAATACTATCAAGGGCTTGAATGATTTTGCATTATAAAAGTGAAAAAGAAAAGTTTGCATATGATCTTATGAGATACTTATCTACGATGAATGAATATCAGCACAATATATACAATGAGATAATGGGAGTTGTGACACCTGAAAGAGGAGGTTTCTTTTTTATGTATGGTTACAGTGGAACTGAATTTTTTTTTATAGAAATCAGTGTTTATTTCTCTAATGTCAAATGATAAGATTGTCTTGAATGTCACATCCAGTTGTATTGCAACATTACTTTTTCATGGGGGAAGGACATGGGTGAATGACATTACACTTGAGATTCTCAATCTCTTTGGACGATTGCATAACGTGTGCCATCAAACAAGAGAGTCCAAAAGCAGAACTAATCCAACAAGTAAGTCTAATAATATGGGATGGAGCATGCATGATGAATAGATTTATTTTTAAGGTGCTGGATCACAAAATGAGAGATGTAATGAATTTATCTAATAAAAACTCTAGAAATGAACCATTTGGAGGGGAAATACTTGAATTCGGAGGGGAAAAAGTAGGACTCGAAGGGAAAATAGTTGTACTCAGAGGTGATTTTTGGCAAACTCTTCCTGTTTTACCCAAAACTTGAAGAGAAAAAATTGTGAGTGCTATCATCTATTCTTTAAAATTATGGTCGTATTTTAAAATTTTTTCTGATTGGATAATTAAAGTTAAAGATGAAAAACTTAGATAAGTGATTGATGAAACAACTGACCTTAAAATTCCGCATAAATTATTAATTTTAGACACAAGTTATTTTGTGAAGAGTATAGTGGACTTCACTTATCCTAATCGAACCTATTGGAGAGTATGAAAATTTATTCATTTTTTATGATATGGCACTACTGGACCATGCTTGAGGTTGTAGATATGATAAATGAATTTGTCATATCCCTCATTACCTAATATGAAATGGTGTGCTTGAGTTTTGATTCTTCATGTCAGGCCGATTCAGATGTAATTATTGATGACAATTAAATAACAATTAAATTTTAAATGAAATCAAATGTTCGGGGATCCAAAACTACAAAATAATCTTAAAATGGCTTAACGATTTTGATATTGAGAAACATTGACCAAATATATGGATTATGTAATGGTACACGATTAATCCTTGAAGAGCTGTGAAAGAATGTTGTTGGTCGATTGTGGTTTTGAGAAATCGAGTCAGCAAAAAGTTTACATACTCCTAATGAAATTGATACCATCTGATCTAGGACCACTCTTGAAGTTATTTATAAGGCAAATATCAATAGTCTTATATTTTGCAATGACTATCAACAAAAGTCAAAGTCAAACATTGTCATTTCTTGCATTACTTTTAACCAAGTTGGTATTCACTCATGGTCAGCTTTATGTTATGNTTTGATATTGAGAAACATTGACCAAATATATGGATTATGTAATGGTACACGATTAATCCTTGAAGAGCTGTGAAAGAATGTTGTTGGTCGATTGTGGTTTTGAGAAATCGAGTCAGCAAAAAGTTTACATACTCCTAATGAAATTGATACCATCTGATCTAGGACCACTCTTGAAGTTATTTATAAGGCAAATATCAATAGTCTTATATTTTGCAATGACTATCAACAAAAGTCAAAGTCAAACATTGTCATTTCTTGCATTACTTTTAACCAAGTTGGTATTCACTCATGGTCAGCTTTATGTTATGGTTCCATGAGTGAAGACAAAAACAAAATTAAAAATATTAGTTCTAGATGACAATGATACTCTTGCAACTATATCAAAAAAATTATATACCCTACAGTCTTTCAAAAAGTTTGGTATTAAAAAAAACTTGGTTGAATACACATTCAATTCCTCAAATATTGTTTATTCTACTTTGGAACTTTTGTATATAGTATTAAAAATCATAGAGAAATATATTTTCTTTATTCTGGGAAAGAATATTACGTTAAAAAAGTTTTAGAACCAATAAAAATTTTGTTCGACCCCGTGCGTTGCACGGGTAAAAATACTAGTTGTCTACAATTTACACTCCACATATAATAGGAAATTCACTATTTTTAAAATGTTATTTTAAATTTTTAATGTACATAATTATTTTGTTATTTCAAAAAATTTAAACAAACATTATTAGTTCTTTTAGAAACAAAGTTTTATTTACTTTTAAGACAACAACAACAACAACAACCCAGTTAAATCCCACGAGAGTAGGGTCTGGGGAGGGTGTGTGTACGCAGACCTTACCCCTACTCGAAAGTAGAGAGGCTGTTTCCAAAGAGACCTCCGGCTCAACGTCGAAAGTTGCATTGTTTGACTAACTGCTACTTCATTAATTAAAGAAGCGCAGACAGTTTAGAGATCCATTTTGATTTATTCCATCACACCCCAAAGCCAAAAAATGGTGAAATTTTGGATCCATTTTGCACCATTTTCCCTTTTATTATTTTTCAAAGAAATAATAATATAAGTTTTATATACTTGTGCATCATTATCAAAACACACAACTTGTATTCCAAAAACAAAATAGCATATTTGATACTAGTTAAAAAAAATCTTTATATGAATTATGCCATATGATTATAATGAAATTAAAATGAATAAAGTTATTTTTAATTCAAAGCATATTTTTATCAAAGATTAAAAATTTTAGACAATAAATGGGCTCATGCGAAGCATGAAGTTAAAACTAATTGTTTTCAACTCCACCTATATTTCAAAGTGAATTCTAAATTTTTCTAGATTTATTTTAAATATAAAAAGATTGGGGTACTAATTTTTTTTTATAAACAAATCTCAATCAAATAGTTTTTACAATATTTTTAAATAACTATTGAACCTGGGAATTTGTCTACATGAGAGTCTAAGTTTGACTAATTACAACAACAACAACCTAGTTGAATCCCACAACAGTAGGGTCTGGAAGGATGTGTGTATGTAGACCTTGCCCCTACTCAGAAGTATGGAGGCTGTTTCCAAAAGAACCTGGGAATTTGTCTACATGAGAGTCTAAGTTTGACTAATTGACGATGAAAATTCTCACAATTTTTGAAATCATTTTATTTACAGATTGGCACATGAATAAGAAATAAAAATTACATATTTAGAAATTATGTCCAAAGTTCTACAAATTTTCCATCATCTCCGATGGAGTCAAAATTTCACCATTTTTGGCTTTGGGGTGTGATGGAATAAATCAAAATGGATCTCTAAACTATCTGCGCTTCTTTAATTAATGAAGTAGCAGTTAGTCAAACACTGCAACTTTCGATGTTGAGCCGGGGGTCTCTTTGGAAATAGCCTCTCTACTTTCGAGTAGGGGCAAGGTCTGCGTACACACACCCTCTCCAGACCCTGCTCTTGTGGGATTTAACTGGGTTGTTGTTGTTGTTGTGCAAAGTTCTACAAAATAGGAGGTGACAAAAATATTTTATTTTATAAAATAATCAATGAAAACACACAAATAAATAAAAGTTATCGAGAGGAGAGAGAAAATAAAATTGTAACGCAGGGAGTAAAATGCAATCAAATAGCCACAACCTTTGAAAACTGAAAAAAATAAAAATAAAGAGGTTATTAAAAAACTAAAAAACCGAAAAAAGGTACAAAAAATTAAGAAAATAAAAACGAAAAAAAAATCAAAGAAAAAAAAATAAACATATGAAGAAGCAGCAAAAAAGGGGAAAGAAAGCAAAAAATGAACGGGAAAGTCGGGAAGAGCGGCGTGTCCGTCCCTCCGTCCCGCGTGCTGCGCCGGGGGATGGTGTTCGGGAGCCATACGGGAGGCCCTAAAAGGAGATGTGGGGGAAACGAGGCTTCAAAAATTACACCCCTAAAGAATGGGCGCCAAAAACACTCGTCACGTTTGTCTCCTTCGCGCGCAGAATCCCAAGATGCCGTCCGTACATAGCTATATTTACGGATACAGCCGCAACTCTTCCCGTCAAACTCCGTTCCCAGAAGATCCCTCCGGCCATTCTACTTCGTTCGAGAACGCAGCTTTAAGATGCCAGTTCTAGCCCCCCGTCGCTCGCCTGGACTCGCCGGCGGGATCAAAGCATCAGATCCGGTGCCGGTCAGTGCCGAGAACGGAGTTTCTACTCCCCGGAAGCACAAGTTGGGATCCGAATCTTATTTATCAAATGGTGCCGTTTCCTCTGCTCCCCCGTCGGCAGATGCGTCTCCAGCAAAATGGAAGTCGCCGAGGCGATGCCTCCTTGATAGTCCGAGCAGTCCAGTTAAAGTAATTGTCTTTTCCTCGACTTATGTGGATTGTTCTAGATCCGAAACCTGCAGATGAAGTCTAATTGATTGGTTTTGCTACTGATTACAGGGATCTGGGGAGAATTTTGGTGATAAAATGATGAAATTGAGTAAATCTCCAGTGAAAAAGAGGTTGCTGGAAAGCTTCAATGAGAAACCGATCTGGAATCCGATAGGTGAGTTTAGATCTCTTAACATTAGCTTATAATTTGTTTAATTAAATCCATGGAATAAGATTCGTGATTCAGTTCAATTTAACTAAGCAATTACTCTTTTCAACTGCATTTATTTGTCCATTTTTAATAGACACCGAGCAATTGAATGCGGTGAAGGAGGTATTACATGTATCTACAGCCCCGTCAGCCATAGTGTGCCGTGAACTTGAGAAAAATAGGATTTTGCAGTTCTGCAAGCAATGTGTTGAGCAGAAAAGGGCTGGCAGTTTGTATGTTTGTGGATGTCCAGGAACTGGAAAGTCGCTCTCCATGGAAAAGGTCAAGGAAGAGTTAATTGATTGGGCTACAAAGGTACTGTAATGCACTTATGTGCAGTTATTGCAGTAGATTTGCTGTCTTTATTGCTAAATGTTGCTTGCCATTTTGAATTTTATAGTGGTTTGTGTTTGAAAAACCGAACCAACAGTTTGTTTTGGAACTGATTTAGTTAGTGTTATAAGATTAAATGCGTATTTAGGGAATTTGTTTCCGGCCCAATGGCTGATGAACTGTTAGTACAAGAACTGATGAACTTGGCATATTTATGAATCAGCATTTTTAATGCTGAGTGTACTATTCAAATCTAATTCTCTGAAAACTTTATTGATTACAATCAGGGGGGCGTTCAACAGCCGGATATATTGTCCATCAACTGCACTTCTCTGACAAAAACCTCAGAAATTTTCTACAAGGTTTGTTAGATGTGAATCATTAAGGGGCATCTTGGGTTGACATTAGTTGTTTCTTACATTCTGTTTGTCTTTATAGATACTTGAACGGATTCAACCTAAGAAAAAGCTTAGTGGTTTGACATCACCACTGCAGCTTCTTCAGAACATGTTCTCTGTGAAGCAGCAAGCTGGCACACCCATGATGTAAGCTTAATTCTGAACTCAATTCACATTTGTTTTGAGGTCTCTTTCTTGTTGAAAACTCCATTCTAGTGAATGATTAGTAATGGGGTTATTTTGATTTGCCTATAGGTTAATAGTTGCTGATGAGTTGGATTATTTGATCACCAAAGATCGAGCTGTTCTTCATGATCTCTTCATGCTAACAACATTTCCTTTCTCCCAATGTATACTATTAGGTAAGGGAAACATTCATTTTCTTCTTCTGCGTACACACATATTTCCCAAACCCTACTTTCATAATTGTTGTTGTTGATACATGTGTGGTTTTGCTCAAAATTGATAACTATTTGGCCTTTTCTTATCAGGAATTGCTAATGCAATTGACCTAGCTGATAGATTCCTTCCCAAACTTCAGTCCTTGAACTGTGAGTACTTTTGAAGTCTCAAATAACAAAAAAAAAAACACTAATAAGGAAGAGGGAGACAGTTGTAATATGCATTTTACTGACTGTTTTGTAGGCAAGCCGATGGTTATAACATTTCGTGCATACTCCAAGAACCAGATCATTATGATTCTTCAACAAAGATTAGCAGTAACTGCCTTTCTTTCCCCACCTCCACTCTCTAGTTCATTTATCTTCTTTTCACATATACTAACTAAGATGCCTTCAACAGGCACTTCCTTACACAATCTTCCAACCAAAAGCACTAGAGCTTTGTGCCCAGGTAGGATTAGTAACATTTGCTCTCATAGTGCACACTTTATTTCATGGGAATCTTCTTATTTTGCTGTAAAAGGTTGAGCTTAATCTTGAATTTAATTAACACAATGCATTCCTTCTTTCTTAAATGATAGAAAATAGCATCTGCATCTGGAGATATGAGGAAAGCGCTTTCAATTTGCAGGTTGGTGACAAATGTTCTATCCCTGTTCCTGAATCTTTGTTAAATAAGTGAAAATAGGAATTCCACACCCCTATGATGAAATTTAAGCATGCCCTGAACTTATCAGGACAAATCCAATTAAATCAATTATTACCCCATAAAAGTTTTCCTTATCTGACTCTAAAAGCCTGTGAAGTTTATGCATCAGCTCTGGTATGTCCATATGTGCACTTTAAACAGCCAGAAATCATATATATGTTCTGTTTTTTTTCTTAGGAATGCAATTGAGCTATTAGAGAGTGAGATTAGAGAGTCCAACAACAATCTGAGTTTGTCTCCACTCAAAGTGGGAGTTTGTGACTCCCCTTGCAGTATTTTGAGGATGCCAGAAAACAACTTTGTAAGTATATTGAGGTTCATTTTAATAACAATTCACATTCTAGGTTGCTGTTTTTTTTCCTCTTACCATTGAGATGGCTTTTACAGGTGAGGGTTGACCATGTCGCTAGAGCATTATTAAAAGCACATAAATCCCCAACGGTGGACACAATACACTCTCTTCCACAACATCAACAGGTACTTTGTTTTGAACACACTTGTTTAAATGTACTATGTGTTGCTTAACTAGTCTTTTGGGACAGATCATCCTTTGTTCTGCGGTAAAACTGTTCCGTGGGGGGAAGAAGGATGCCACAATGGAAGAGGTAAAAATCCGGTCATTATTATTAACCCTATTATCAACATTAAGAATTGGTATATATATTTTTACCTAGATTGCATAATTACTCACGCTAATGTTGGTGCAGTTGAGTAAGTACTACATGGATGTCTGTAGATCAACTAAAATCCCAGGTGTTGGTGTTATGGAACTGTCAAACATGTGCAGGGTGCTTGCTGACCAGGTTAGAACTTGAACACAAACCTCATTAAAACCCTGAGATTATTTCTCGAGATCATGAAACAAATCGAGAACAGAAATAATACTTATCGGATGAGTTTTTTTTTCTTTTTTTTTGCAGGGCCTTCTAAAGATTGGACAATCTCGAGAAGCTAAATTAAGAAGAGTAACTTTAAAGGTGGATGAAAGAGACATTACTTTTGCATTGCAGGTTGGTGATCTGTGTTGGTTTTTTTTCTTCTACATGTTCCGATTTATGGGGATACTCTTTACACAATTTGTTTTTTTGTTGTGAATAGGGAATTCACTTCTTTCGAAACTGTCTTCAATGATAGTGGAATCACAATGAGGCACTCAAGCCTATATGGTTGCGGAACGGAACCACATTCATGGATGGCTTTAGATCTATTTATATGTTGTAAGAATAGGATATAGAAACCTCTTGAGAGTTTAGGAACTAGAGTGTAATACTATATAGTACAAAGCGAGTGTTACTTTTGCATTTGCTTAAATTATGATTAAAGATAAATTATGATTAAAGATAAAATTGAGGAACATCCTTGTGAAACCATCATCATTTACTAAACACAGAAGTAAAAAAGATACTTCTGTATATCAGCTTCGAATGATAGATCATTTGTTTGGGCAGACTTGTTTTTTCAGATCAACATATTCACTTGGCGAATTTTGCAACTAAACAAAAACCACGTCTCTTAAAAGCATCCCGATACCAAATCCTACAAAGTAATAGCTAACATAATGCAAATCAGAAGTTTTGAAAGGGAATTCATCAATCAAACAGCCCACCAAGGCCACCCTCATCCTCAGACTCCTCGGGTTCTTCTTTCTTCTCCTCTTTGGCAGGAGCAGCTGAAGATTCACTAGCTGCTGCAACTGGTGCAGGAGCAGCAGCAACAGCAAATTTGCTTGGATCCTGCAAGTTTTAGCATTGGTTTAGAAAACCTCAAAAGTATGTTTGGATGGTTTATAGGACTTTAGGGGATTGATATCTATTTAAGATTAAAACTAAATGGAGGTTTTCAATTAATGTTGGCATTTAGAATATTTTTTGATGATGCAAATTAACTTTGAAAATGCAAGTTAACACTCATAGCTTTTTTGGGACACTATACATTAAAGGTATTGTCAAACGGGCTCAAAATACAACAACAACAACAACAATAACATTTCAATCAACTTTTGTTTGTTAACACATTTCCATTAAACAAAGAGTAAAAAGAAACTTATTCCTCTCCAACTCCCTGTTTTGTATTTACCCATATCAAGTTTCGAATTATTAAAAAAACAGTGAAAAGCCTTGAACAACTAATAAGAGGGACATGCAAGTGTGAGAGAAAAAAAACTAACCTTTAGGTACTCTTTGATCTTGTCGGCGAGCGGGAAAGAGTAGTCATCACTTGCCAAAGCAAAAGACAGGATGTTCTTGTAAGCATTGATGACAATGTGAGGGACTGCAGCAAGCGTAAGGTAGGAAAGAGCCATAGACAGGGAGATGACATTGGTCAACCCGGCACCAAACCTCACTACCAGATCGTCTTCGGTCAGGTCAAGAACCTCTGAGCTGAAGACGGATCCATTGTCGTAGACATTCTCAACGACCAGACCGTAGGAGAACGGTTTGATGCCCAGCTTGGAGAGAAGGGCTGACTGGGAGGACTCCACCTTGTTCCCCTTCTTGATCAGCTCCACTGGGGTTATGATTTCCACTGTACCTTTGTTGATTTTTGTAGGGATGTTCAACACCTGATGAACATTAAGACAATATGTAATAAGGAGCATATCCCAATTCCCAAAAATTAATTGAACATGGAAGAAGCTAAGGTTGGTTTTATTTGCTCAGTATAGAAGGTAAATAATGTGAAAAACTATGAAAACTTTAATAATGCGTGTAGCCTTCATTTACTCTTAGCTTGCTGATTATTTATGGATTATTGATAGCAAATCCTACATATATTAATACAACATTTATGTAATATCCCCGTCTTAAAAGTAACTTTTGATTTGTTTTTTAAATATTTCCAATGCAATACATTGACCATTAACTTCTCTTTTTATTTATGAATAATATACTCGGGTATATTCCTTTCATCCCTGAATATTTGTCTATTTTTGACTTTTTTCTATCAGAATTGGTAAACTTTGACCCCAAATTAAATAAAAATGATATTACGTATTAGATATTAAAACAAAAATAGCTTTATTGGATATATTATATCAAATATTTTTCAAAATATTATTTTATCAAATTAATATACAATATACTCCGGGTAAATTTTATCTAATTTCAGGTCAATTGCTGAAAACAGTGGACCAAAAAATTCAAAACTAGACAAATACTCAGGGACAGATGTAGTTCTACACTTCTACGTATATTATACAAATAAAATATTTTAAAACTATGTTTTTAAAATGAACCTATTGATATTAAATTTATATGAAAGTTTAATACAAGGTCAAAGTTAAAAAAATTGGCCATAAAAGTCAAATTGGGAAACTACGGAATATTAATCTTTATGTATTGCTCGTAAATTTCTCTTATACTTAGAGCACGGGCAATGACAAGTAACGAAATGCAATGCCAAACGTTGACGTGACACATTTCAACCAATAAAAGACAATCCAGTCAGCGTGTGGCAAGTGAGTGGAGAGGCATCTCGTTGCAGTGATAAGTCATTGTTTTTGTCAATTTTTATGATTTTTAATGCATTTTATTAATTATTAAAAATTATTTCATTTATCTTTTTTTATATAGATGTACTCTTTTTTTTAAAAAAATATTTCTTTCTAAAAATAAAACAAAAAAAAAAAATTGAAGATGCCTCGCGCCTGAGGGAGGCTGAAGCCACGCAAGGCAAATTGCCGAGGATGCTGATGTGGCGCAGCGAGCCTCGCTGCTAAGCATGCTCTTATGGAGGAAGCTAAGATTAGACAGATGCCCACATTTATGAGATGTTTATTTTGATAGGAAAATAAAGCGGGGTATAAGATAAACAAAATTAATGAAGCTAATTAATTACTCTATGTGAAATATTCTCCGCCCATTTACTGTCACAATTTTGGGGTTTTATTAATGTTACTGTTCTTTCCTAAAGAAAATGTTACTGTTCTCGCATGCATTTTTGGACTATTTACATTGAAACCATATTACTCGGTAGAAATTAGCATTCTCGATCGCCTACCTGAAAGAAACTGGTCTGGGAAGGATCAAGTCCAGTGTTTCCCGGAGGAACAACCACATCTACCGGAGCAACAAGACCAACCCTCGCCGGCGCTCCGACCTGCAAGCCAGTCGTCGGTCGATTATTCAAAATATTCTCCGACCGATGAGAAGGAATAAATTTAGATCAGATCGGAGTTTGTAATACCTTGTATTTGGAGACCTCATCGCTCACTTCTTTCAGATCTCCTCTGGTGAAGATCAAGCCCACGTTGTTCTGTTCAATCGGAAAATCAGAGCATATCGCCAGATCCATCAAATACATACAGAAAAACAATGAAATTTGGGGATTAATTAGTAGAGAAGAGGATCGAGAGAGAGGGGACTGACGACGAGATGAGGAACGAGGGCGAGAATCGCAGAGTTGCCGGTGTTCTCCGCGTGGACGCGGATGGAGCGCTTCATCATGGTGTTCTTACCCATGAGGATGACGGAGTCGCCGCGGAGGCCGGCGCGGATCTCCTGGAGCTGCTTGGACCCGACATTGTCGGCTCCGACGATCAGTATCTGGGAGTACATGTCCAGGAGCTTGCAGATCTTGGAGTGGTACGAGAGCTTCTTCTCAGCCTTGTTCACCTTCACCGCCATAGCTCACCTCCGATCAATCGGCTTTTTTTTGCGCCGCCGTTCGGATCCGATAGGAAGGACGAATTGAAGAGCTGAAAATGTAAGGATGTGATGTGTTATATATGCTCGATAATCGTCAGAAACCCTAATATCGTTGGGCGGGGAGAGGTTTTGCAGGGAGGGAGTTGCAGAAAAGGTGGGGGGTACGTGTAAAGAATGGATTGGCATGGAGAAATGAGGACCTATGGGATATGTACTGCACAAACAACCGAACGACCTGATCATCCGCCACCTTTTATTTATTGGGTTATTCTCTCTCATATGATTTCTTTTTTTTTTCTTTTTAAATTTAAGGGTCATGTGAATATTTAATGCCTCAAAAGTCACAAATTAACTAAACGGGACCTCTTAAGTTTTAAAAGTTTGTAAAATCAAAAGACTAAATGGAAACTTATTTAAATAGCACTAAAATGTACGGAGTATTGTTTTTTTCTAAATAGTATAATATGTGTTTTTTTCCAATGTCGCACTTTTAGTCATTATCCATTACTCATTATCCAATAGTCATTATTCAAAGAAAAATTCACCAACACTGGACATTATTTCTCCTTTTGAACATTACTAAATGTTATTTAGAGAATAAAACAGTTTTAGTACCATTTAGAGAAATGATTTAAGTTTTAATACTATTTAGTACAAATATTTCCTAAATTTTAAGAACAGAAAGTAGAATGATACGACATTTCATTAGATTAGATATAAAAACAGTCTTCCTAGCCATGATTCACAAATCACTTAGGGTCCGTTTGGTATACGGAATTGATGGAATTGGAATTAAATTGGAATTGAAATTCCATGGGATTCAATTCCATAGAATTGATTTCTGCCAATTCCAATTCATTTTTTGCACTATCAATTCTAAATCCACATAATTTTTGTGCTACCAAACACCAGAATTGGAATTGAAGTCCTCAATTCCAATTCCATAATTTGAATTCCGTGTACCAAACGGGGCCTTAATAAAAATAAAGCTCAAATCATTGGAATGAAGTGCATCTTCTTTGAAATCAGAAATAATAAAGCCAAAATTTAAAATAAAAGGCTCAGACTCGAGAGCAAAAATCACATGTTGGTCCCAAGTCACCTTTTTAGGAGTCCTTCGACAGCAGTTATTTTTTAATCATCTACTATGAACATGTTCTTTAGCACTCGGAAAAAGAACTAGGTGTTATTACAAACATGAAGAAATTAGAAAAAACTAGAAAAATGTAAAGAATTAGAAGAATTGAAGAGACTAGAAAAAATTAGAAGAGATGAGAAGAAACTTAAAAAACTCGATGAAACTGGAACAAACCAGAAAAAAAACATTAAATGTTTATTTACGTATATTTTATATAGTATTCTTATTATAGTTCTTATTATTATTGATTTTGTTATTATTCTTATTATTCTTATTATTATTATTATTATTATTATTATTATATTATACATGTAAAATATATAATTTTTAGAGTCATTATTTGAGATTTAAAAAAAATGAAGAAAATTGGAATAGTTGGAAAAATTGGAAAAACTACGTATAGAAGAACAGGAAGAAACATGAAGAGAAATAAAAAGAACTAGAAAATACAGGAAAAACTGAAAGGTATTAAGAAAATTTGAGAAAGGTGAAAGTTAAGATTTTAGTCTTTAAGAAAGAGGATTTATACGTGATAATTTAGAAGTTTTCAATCACATACTCTTAAAAATCAAAATGTTTAACATTTTAAAAAATTATGGAGCATATTTTAATTTTAAAATAAAATTTTATTTATTTTTATTTTAGCATAATACTATTTATTTATTGGGGAGTATAATTTATATAGAAAATTCTTAAAATGGTACTCAATAACAATGTATTTTGCTAAATTAATCCCTAAGATTTACTAATTATCAAGATGGTACTCGTTAATAAAAAATTATGCGTAGTTTAGTCTCTCCGACTACCCGCCATCAAAATAGAGTCAAAACGACATTAAAACTTATACTCCCTCCGTCCCAAAAAGATTTACACGTTTCATAATTTTTTTTGTCCCATAAAGAACTACACTTTTTCCTAAAAAGGACATTTCCACCCTTAAACCTAATATCCACCCAACTCTCAAACCTCACTCACTATCCTATATCCTATCCTATCCTATATCCTATATCCTATCCTATATATATGTAAAAGAGAGTTACACTCTTGTGGTGATCACACGGGTCATGCCACACGTGCATACTACTGACATGTGTTATGCCACATGTAACTCACAAGACACATGTCACTCCACACATGCATATTTAATTTTGCATTTAACTATTAAAGAGAGTTACACTCTTGTGGTGATGACACGTGTCATGCCACACGTGCATACTATTGACATGTGTTATGCCACATGTAACTCACAAGACACATGTCACTCCACACTGCATATTTAATTTTGCATTTAACTATTATTTTTATTATATTTTATAAACCCTTCACTTTCCAACAATAAAAAACCCTTATTTTCATTCTTTTTCATTAAATTTTCACTTCCTAACTATTTTAGAAATATTTTTTTAAATATGCGTGACAATTTTATAATATTAAAAAAATTATATAAAATTTATTAATTAAGAAAAAAATGTTTTTTATAATTTTTAAAATTATCCAGCATCTCAAAAGAAACTATTATATATAAATTTTACCACACATGCATCTCTATTAACTTCATAACATATTTCAATTTTTGTCTTATTTTATTATATATTTTTTAGCAAACTAAACAAAGTGAAAGTTTAATTGATGGATTACATGTGGCATAAGACAGATATGCATTCTCTAATGATGTGTCATTACTTAATTGATTTATTTGACATTTTTTTATTAATTTTTATTAGTCAAAACAATTTTCATTATTATTTTATTTGATAACCATTACATTTGCATAAAAATTTTAGGTCACGTGTGCATTACACCTCGGCCTGTGTCATGCCACATGTATATATTTATTATTATTAATGTTATGAAACACCTTCACTTTTGTATATTAAAATATTTTTATTATATTTTATAAACCCTTCACTTTCTTGCCCTAAAAAACCATTATTATTGAGCAAAAAGAAAATTTATTGTTATTAAATTTTCAAAGCAGTATTATAAATTTTTTTTATCACATATAAATATTTATTAATTAAATACAAAATTATTTCAAACTTTTTATCATATTACATACTACGAAGTATATTTTAGTATATGGTGTATATTTTTTTCAACAAACTAAACAAAACAAAGTTAGAGTTGAAAGATGATACGCGTTGTATGTCATATATGTAATTTCTCATTATGTGTCATTACTTAATTGATTCATTTGAAATTTGTTATTTTATTTTTTAATTATAAATTATTTCTTTATTATTTTTTTCAATGATCATTGAGTTTGTATAAAACTTTTCACATCACGTGTGCACACCATGCCACATGTGATACCACAAGTGATGTCATAAATGCATATTTATTTTTATTAGGTTTTTATAAACTTCATATATCATATTAAAGAATTAAAATAGATAATATTTTATTTTTTAGATTTCAAATATTAGATTACATGTGAGCTTGTGCGAAGCCTGAAAAAGAACTAACATTATATATATATATATATATGTGTGTGTGTGTGTGTGGGGGGGGGTGTGTGTGTGTGTGTATATATGTATATATATATATATATATATAGATTTTGGTTCTGGTGAGAATGCAATCTTAGGAGAGAAATGAGAATGAATCTGGTGCTTTAGATTGTGAGATCTAAGGGTCAAGATTTCATCAAAATTAGATGCACCAAAATGGTGCGAAAATGCATCACGTTGAAATGCATCATAAACCTTCGAAAATGCACAATCTCAAAATCTGAGCGCAGGATGCAATCTGAGCCGCACGATGCATCAGATCCGATGGCTAGATTTTATTCTCATTTGTCTCCACAAGGTGCATTCTCACGGGAATCGGCCCCTATATATATATATATATATATATATATATATAACAATCCACCATTTATATATTTATCTTATATTGTTTGTTTACCAAATAACTATATTTGATTAAATATATAATTACTAACTATATATTGTATTTTATTTTAAAATGCTTTATCTATAACACTATTTAATTTGCTATATATCATTTCAACAAATTAAATTAAATTAATTTGTTTTTCTTGAAGTATAACACATGGCATATAGGTCATATGCCGCATATGTATTTTTCAATGATTTATCATTACCTTAATTTATTTGGCATTTTTATTTTATTTTTTCATTAGTTAAATCAATTTTCTTTAGTATATCATTTAATAATAATTTGATATTTTTGGTCAAGTTGCTCTATACTTTGACGGCAAAGTGTGTAAATTTATAAAAATTGTGTCCATTTAAAATATTGTTTTCATAAATCAAAATTTTATGATATTTAATTATTTAAAATGTATTTAATTTGTATTCAAAATGTTTCATAGTTTTAGCAAAAAAGTCTAACAATGATAATCTTAATTAATTGACACGTGAACACATCTCAAGCCCGTGCGAAGCACGGGGTAGAAAACTAGTTATACTAGTATGTGTACTTCACTTACTACTTCCTCCGTCTCAAAAAGATTTACACCTTTCAAAAAAATTGCGTCCCACAATCTCCTACCCATTTCTATTAAAAAACCACTTTTACCATTTACTTTTTCAAACCCTACCTATCACAACATACCTTTTTTTTCTAATAATCTACACATCGCATCCTACTTTTACCCATCACATCAAGAGTATTTTTGGAAAGTAAACACAAAATCATCCCTCTTTTAATTTCAACTTTAGTCAAAACGTGTAAATCTTTTTGGGACGGAGGTAGTATAATATATTATTTTACACTATTCTCGGAGTTGATTGTATTCCCACTTTTACATTAGGGTAAGGGGTAATATGAGGAGGTCAATGGAAAAATATGCTTTCCTTATTTTGCTTAAAAGTCAAAATGTGTACACTTAATAGGACGGATGGAGTACTTATTTTCCAAAATGATCATTTCTAATCAAAAAATTTT